AGAGTACCATCTCGATATTATTTATGACAGGAAAAATGCAACTGTTTAAAATCAATAGAATAGAAGACCTTGGAGAAAACGTTTATATTTCTACAAAATATAACAACTTGGCATGGTATAGATTTATGAGGATGTTAAATCAGCCTGCAGCATATCCAGTACACCCAGACTTTTATGAAGTCGAAAACCCTAATGGAACATATGAAAATGTTTTCGACCAAGATGCTATTATTGTTCATGCTTCATTTTCTGGCGCCCAAAACTCTTTCTTATGCTTGGCAAATGACTTTTACGAAAAAACCTACAAAGTTATACGAACCACCAAGTGGAAGTATTTCAGACTTTCAAGTATGGTTTACTACAGATGGAAGAAAAGAATAATTCCATTATACCATGCGTTTTACTTAGAACTTAGTTTCATATACAACTACTATCGAACGGTAAAAATATAATTTTTTAATATACCGGTTGTGTGTTGGATTTGGTTGCCAACTAGACTGTGGTGCAGGTTCAGGCTGTTGTATAACAGGAGCTTGCTCTTCTGGTTCAGGGTCTTTAGGTATAATACCAACAAACTGACCTACTCTTTTACCAATATTTTTGACTCCGTTCCAAATTCCTCTTCCTACGGTTTTTATTCCATTCCATATACCTCTTCCAACTCTTCTGAAGAAGTTTCCAATACTACTGAAGAAACCCATTTTACTATATGTAAAAATCTAATGTCCACCTAGTCTCTTACGTTTCCTGTTGAGTTCCATAGCATTCTTTAACTGGAGCTCATACATTCTGTTTCTCCTCTGGTAGAAAACATATTCTGGGTCAACTCCTGTGTTCGCGTCATCTGCATAAAGTTGTTTATATCCCACTTCAGGGTTTGTATAAAACTCTTTCCATCTCATATTTGCATACCATGGTGGCAAACCTAACGCAGCGTCATTTGACATGGCAGTTTGCATTTGTACATCTGTTGGCACTTGACCATAGTTTGCCATTGCAGTTTGTATTCTAACTTCATTTGGAATATTCTCTGGGTTTGGTTGTCCAGGTTGCTGTGCATTCGCTAAGTTCTGTGCGTCCATTTAATATTAGATAAAAATATCTCTTACGAGTACATATACTGAACATTTGCAGGCATTGGTTCATCTTCATATTCTCTGTACTTTTCTGCCACGTCAAATAAATAAATGACACAATGGAAAAAACCTAAAACAAGTAGTCCTATTTCAAACCACATTTACTTACTAATAAAATTTCTTTGTTATGACACTTTCTCCGGTTTATAGGACCTCTCTCATATTCTATCTTGTCATATCTAAACTCATAGTCATGTATGTCCTCTAACCATCTCATAACGGTTTCCAAACCACTTTTATCGGATGTAAAGTAAAAGCATGGATGGTTATGTAAAACGTCTAAAGTTTCTAAAGAGTCTCTCAAAGTCCAGTCTACTTGGTATTGAAAATCCCATGTGTTATAGAACGGCGGGTCCACTATAAAGAAAACATTTTCCTTGTCTTTATATTTTTCATACAACTCTGTCCAATAACATCTCACAAACTCTATACCCTCAATATATTTTTCTATGTCCTCTTTGAAAACATTTGTATAGTTAAGATATAAAACTTTTGACATAAGTGTTTCAATGTCATGAACTCTTATAGAACCACTATATAATAGTCTAACAGATATACTATCCCAGTCTATATATTCTGCTTTTTTCAAAACCTCTCTCACAATATTTTTCTTATCTAATGGTATACGTTCCATCTTACCTATAGGTATCTTTTCTTTTAACTCTTTCAATATATTGTTTGTGTCTGGAATATGTTTGAGACGGTCCATATAGTTGTCGAAGTCATTGCATATAATCTTTGAGTCTGGGAATATTGTATGGCACAAATGGGATATATAGAAACTTCCACCGAACAAATCTACAAATGTTAGACCATTCGGTAGTTTCTTAAGTTCTCTCAATATAATATCTTTACATTTACTCTTATTTCCAAAGAACGGTAACGGTGGTTTTGTAAAATTCATTTATATATAATAATAAAAATGTTTTTTCCCTGAAAAGTGACAGAAAAGTGACAAGACATGAAAACATATATAATTTGTGAAAAGCGAAACATTATATAATGTTTTCGACCCAGAAGAAGGCTTCTTCCCAGAAGCAATGGAGGAAGAAGAAGAGTCCTCCGAATTCACACCAGAAGACTAACAATTTTCCGAATAAAAACTTCATTTATACTAAACATCTTCAGGGCTAGAGGGCGCAACGCGCCTGGAAGCCCCACTACCTTTTTTTTTTTTTTTTTTAAATTAAATGTCAAAAAATATACAAATATTAGCTATACTTTCAAACAGTTGCATGTTTAATTCAAATAATATTACAAAATAAATTGAGGTGTATGACAAAAAAACTATTTTTCTAACGTTTGATTTTGCCTTAATGATGGAATTTAACTACTAGAAATATGTACACACTTTTTTTAGCATCCGATAATCAATTGTCATCTAAAATAAATGAGTCATTCAAGACAGTGTCAGTTGATTTACATCTCACTTTCCTGAGTTTGCTAAAAGATTTAACTTTATTTATAATTGATTGTTGCATTAAAAGTGAATCTCTATGAGCGTAATTTGCTATTCTAGGTTTTAGTATCGGATCATGTTTTGTTGATAAAGTTCTCGCCCTTGGAATATCTCTGGATGAAAAATAAGGCATCTCTAGAATTTGATCAATAGTTGGTCTTTTGGTTGCATCAATCGTAAGACAACGAGAAATTATCTGTTTTATAAGTGGATCTGTAATTTTTTGGCTTGAATACTGCCCTCTTTCGATTATATAATTTAATTGATCTTTTGAATTAGAATAAAAAGGAAAATCGCCTGTAATAAGGAAATACAATGTGATTCCCAATGCCCATATGTCTGATTGCATAGGATTATGCTCCTTTTGTTGAATAATTTCTGGTGCCATAAATAAAGGCGTACCTTTACTGTCGTTACAAGTAGAATTTGTATCGAATTTACGTGAAAGCCCAAAATCACTGATTTTAATGCGATCGTATTTATCAATTAAGAAATTAGAAGGTTTTATATCCCGATGAGCAATATGTCTGTCATGGCATGCCTTAATTGAAGTTACAACTCATTGAATGTGTTTATATATAATTGCTTCGGATACAACTGGATGATTTTTAATGTAATTTTCCAAGTCATCAGGACAATATTCCATTAATAAGTAAATCGAACCATTAAATTTGAAATATTTATATAAACTTACAATTTTTTGATCATCAATTTCTATTAGACACTGAAGTTCTGATTCTTCAAAATGACATTCTGGGACTTTTTTAAGAGCGAAATATGTGCGATATTGAATATGAAATACATAAAATACTGTTGCGTATCCACCTTTAGCAATAATATCTAAGCAAATTAATTTTTGCTTCAGGAAGAATGAAGATCCTTTATCATCCATTTTTGTATTTGAATGAATTCATACAAAAAATTCTATATTAAAAATAAATAATGATAACAATCAAATAAAAAGGAAAATTTTCTTAATTATTTGCTAACAAATTTCAACGATTCAATTTGAATTCTAAGATATAAAATCTGGGACATTAATGTTATTGCTTGATTTGATTGTTAAATAATAATTATTCTTTATTACAAAGATTCAATATAACCGCAATTTTTTGTGAAATCGAAATGGATGCATATATACTGAAGCTTGTTAGAGCTATTCAATTTGACTTAAATTTTTTTAGGGAGTAATAATTTTTAAAAGGGAGACTTTTTTTTAGGTAAATGATTATTTTTGAGTACGACCTAGATTCCAAGACAGCGAAATTAATGGCATTATTATTCCCTGTATTGGTTATAGTATCTTCAATTATCAGCTATTACTTTATCAGCTGCAATCAAATTCTCTCTCTCCGTTTTTCGAATGTTAAATATATTGTTCCAATTCTTTTCAATATTTTTACAGAACGTGAAATCCCAAATTTGCTTGTAAACCCACTACTTTGCTTGGTTTTATTTACATTATTAGCGAAAAAATGGCCAACTTCAAAAATATTTATTTTTACGATTGTTACTGCAATAATTTGTAATTTCAGCGCATTTCTTGTTTTCGAATTCTTCTTCTTCATACCAAAATTTCACAATTGTTTTGTTTCTGGTTCAATGTCAATAGTTGTTAGCCTTTCAATAGCTATTTGCTATGCATACAAGCAAGATGAATCCATAAGGTTTATAACGTTTATCTTGAGTCCTTCAAAAATTTTCGGAATTATTTTGGTCTGGTCTTTTGCATGCTTTAGATGGCCACCAATTGCCACTATTTCAGCATCAATATCTTGTGTTGTATCATTCATAATATTGAAGCAATTTCATCTTTATCTAAAACTCCCTCCGAATGATCTATTTTCATATCAATCTTTGAATCCTCTTCCAAGAAGTGAAGAACCAGAACAAAAGCTTTCAATTTATGAAACACTACAGAATTCTCAAACCCCTGAATTATCAGAAGTAGAACAAAGTAGACGTCTTAGAGCACTGCGTGCCATTGAAGAGCGTCTTGAAAGCCTTCAATCCAAGAAATAATTCTTTAATTGTTATTGTATTTAGTAGTAAATAAAATTTGTAAATTATTTTTCTTTATTGTGAAGTTTTAGAGCATATTACTCTGCTTTATTAGGATTTTTTCAATAAAAAAATAATTATAAATAAAATATAACACAAACAAATTTATTTCGTTCTGTAGAATTGCAAAATTGTATATTTGAGGAGGAAAGGCAAATTTCTTCTAGAAACGATTTGCCATAATAAAAGTGGTCCATTTTTATAATTATTTTTTGCCCTCATTTTTACTTTGAAGAAATTATTCTCCAGTGGTCTAATATATATTTCAATTTTGTTTTGTGTCCACATTGAATAGACTTGACTATATCCCTGGGGTGTATCATCCCAAATAATCATGAATTGGCTTACTGACTGAGATCCATGAATGAACTGGAATGCTGTTCTTGGCTTTCATCACAAGTTATCTCAACACTTTTCTCGAAGAATTTCACTTTTCCAAGAGATTTCAAGAAGGAAATGAAATCAGGAGAGAACTTGGAGACGTCAGCTGCTTTGTCAAATTTATCCGAGTTGACATACAAAATATTTGCCTTACAAGTAGTTTTCAAATTCCTACTGAAAATCTTTTTCATCGATGGTGCAAAAAGCTGTATATCATCAGCAACCTGGAACTCTTTGTGTGCGAAATCATTCATCATGTCTACAAGGATTCCAATTGGTTTAGCCGGTGTCAGTATTCCCCAAGATTCGTTCAGTAAATCTGCCTGTTTCTTGCAGCATTTCCTATCAAAAGGAAGTAATTTGCAATTTGATTCAAAGTCGATGCAGTATTTAGAGGAACCAGTGATATTAGAAGACGAAATTTGAATGATGCCATTTCGTCTTCTAAACCATAAGTAAGGATCTCCACCTCTGACAAGTAAGAAGTCTTGATCGTCATCAAAATTAATGTTTGCGCATTTCTTTTTGTAATTATTTATAAAGAAAGCGTATTCTTCGTTCCTTTTCTGTCTATCTCTGTCTTGTGAGAATTGATGATCAAAGAAACGAAGGATTATTGGCATAAATTTTGTTTTTTCCTGAATTTTGAATAAAATATCAACAAGTAACTCACATGAGAATATAAAATTCGCTTCTTTGTTTCCAATTGAAACTAAACAATTGATGTAAACTGCAGCCAAATGCTCTGATGTTTCGTTAACCTTGTTGAAAAACGGAGGGAAAATAGTAAGAAATGTTCTGGGTATTTCTGGGAGTTCATTGATTCCTTCCAAATATTTTTCGAAAATTGTAATTAATTCAACACCAAATGGTAGTTTTTCAGAAGAATTGAAAAAGCTGACAAATATTTGAGAAATCATTGAATCAACAACTTTAATATTTTCTTTTCCTCTGAACTTTTCTATGATCATTTTTATTGAGGCTATGAGACTTGAGTATGGATTGAGGGGCATCTTGTATGATGAAGACTGAATTACTTGGAAGCAAGATGCAATGAAATCTACGTATTGGTAAATATCATGAGAAAGAGCTTTGTGCGGTAGTCTGACAAAATTTGATATGAGTGCATGGAAAATGGCAAAAGAAAATGGTTTTGCTTCCAAAAAGTATTTTGTTGCGAGGAAGAAACTTTTTATAAAGAACTCTTCATCGGAATCTGTTGTTGCAATAAACAAAGCTTGCACAAAATTCATTGCAAGTTGTTTACTTATTCCATGACTTAGCATATCAGATAACATAATATCAGATGAAGTTACAAGGGAGTAATATCTATTATCCAGCTGGCCATCTTTGATATGATCAATCATTCTTCTCAAAAGATGACTGGAGAGGAATGAGCAGTCAATTCTGTATCCAACGAAATTTGCCATTTGGAAAAATGCTCGAGAAAAAGAAGGAAGTATCAAATAGTCTGCAATTTGATTAAACTTGTCTATAAAGCATAATAAGAATCTCTCTGAGTTTGCTTTGTTTCTGGTGTTAGGTTTAATAAATAAAAATGGGAAGTCCTTGTTGAAAGAATGAAGCTGTGACATGCAGTCGATGTTGCTGATAATGCATTTCAGAGCAAATAGAACTGGGTTTTCATTGGCCATCTCTAAGTGATTGGGGAATTGTTCCAAGGAAATGATGGATCGCATGAATGTAACGCAGTAAAATATAGAAAAGTGATTGAGAAGCGCCGTCATCCTTCGCTTGTCCTCCTTCTTAGTGAAGATGTTTAGAATCGTTTCATAGAATTTTGATAAATATAATTCTTCCATGTAGTAAAAGTCGGCAATGAGAGTTAGATAGATGCTGCAGAGAGGAATAATGATGTAACTGTTTTGACATGAGTTAATGAAGGAAATAAGCTTCATAAGGATTGAACTAGAATTAGAAATCTCAATTATGCATTTTATCGTCATTCTGAGATGTAACATAATTTCTTTGAATTGCTTTGATGAAGGAGTGAACTTGGGAATGAGATTGGCATATATTGAAAGGAGTTCATAAGGAAGATTTTCGCTGTCGGTCAGAGATAAGATGTATTTGTACTTTTCATGCGTAGTTTGGGTCTCCTCGAGGAATCCGGTAGTAAGAACGGAAAAGGATTCGTTTGTTTTATCTTCATTCTGAAAAGATATATATCGGCTAGGAAAATTTCCAATTATGTAGTCGAAAATCAAATTTTCTACGGGAATGTATTGGTCTTGGAATGAAATTTGAGAATTATTTGATATGGAAGTCAGAATAATTACAAAGCTTTCATAAAGAGTCCGAGAATTAAATGATATGATATGGAGTGGCGTAATGTTTCCTTTAGTGAATTCTATATACATATTTCTTATGATGGCATCCGCAATTATATTTGATTCCGAAGCGTTCATTAGAGATTGCCTTAGCTCATAATAGAAATTTTCAAGAACTATAGACCAAAGCTGGAATGTAAAATATCATTAACTGTGGCTTTTTCTGGAGTTCCAATGTTTAATTTTTGATTTTCTAGTCCATAAAAGTAGAAGTGAAAAAATGTAGCCCAATCTTTTACTTTTCCGAAAAAAAGATTGTTAAGTATAATAGTAAGAGCTGATTTAAAAGTTTTCCTTCTGAGCTGTTGATCATTGTATGGATTAATTAGTGTTGTGTGAATAGCAATTATTTCTTTTGATAATTTATTATATATTTCCGGGTATTTGGATGATAAATCTGAGATAAATTCAAGATATGAAATGAATGATTGCTTAAGAGATGAAAATATTTTAGTAGTATATATTGCGGGTTTTGTGACTTTTTTTGTAAACGTAAGAATTCATACAATATCGAGCGATTTTGTATCATTTTTTTTAACATATGAAGTAAAAAATGTATGATTCTTACGGTTTTTATTCTTACGTTTTTGAATAAATCAAGATTTAAAAAATTTTCAAAATTGTAAGACATTTACACTAAACCCATACATAATGAAATAAAAAAAATAAAAAAATAAAAAAATAAACTTTAAAAATTCATGTCTTACATTTTTGAATAATTTATTTTTTTTAATTTGTATGAAAATGAGTGGATCAAGATTCGTAACCGTCAATCAATTAATGGATGCTCTTTCACCAATTCTTGAAAATGTTAAACAAGTAGATGTTTATTTCGATGATTATGTAGAAAGTTTATATTATAAAGGTAAGTTTAATATTAAACCTATTGCTTTTGCATTTGATAATAAATTAATTGAAAATGCAAAAATTTGGGAATTAATTCCAGATATTGAATATATAACAAATATTAATGATAAATGGTTTAAACGAATTTCAACCACAAAAGTTCTTTGTAAATTAATGATCAAAACTGAGGAAAAAGAATTTAACGGGTTTAAATATCATCCAAATAAAGTTTCAGAACTAGAAAATGAAAAACTTCAGAAAAAATTAAACGATAGACTTTCAAATGATCGTATTGAAAAAATAAATAAACTAGCAGAAGTTGCATTTAATAATGAAATATTTGATGAATATAACCTTGAACTCAGTGATGGCTTTAAGGACCCGGGCTCAACGAGTCATGATTTATGAAATCAATATTTGATTTATTCTCTTCAATAATTTCTATTCTTTTTGTTAAATCATCAATTTTCATTAATGAGGTGATTCTTGATTGAGGAATAGATTTCAAACTAACCACTCCTTTTATTTTTGAAATTTTGAATCCATCAACTTTAAACATTTTATTCAATTTACATGTTGTCAATTCTTCAAATAATTTTTTATTATTAGCATAATAGTCATTAAATTCTTCAACAGATGAAAAAATTTTTATTTCAGTAATTGGTTTAACAACGTTTATTTTTTGTTGAACATTTTCACTTTCATTTATTTCTTCCTCCTCTGTTTTTTATTTTTAAAATCGGTTTCATTTATCATTAAATAAAAATTAGAATATAAGTGATGAAATATATTTTTTAATTAATATTAAATCAGAAATGGCGGCAGGATTCTTTAAAAAATTATGGGATGGAATTAAGAAAGCTGCAGGTTGGGTTTATAAAAAGGTTATTAAACCTGTTGCAAACTTTTTGGCACCAGTAGCGAAAACGGCAGGAACTATCATAGGTGGAGTATTAGGTACTAAAGCAGGTAATCCGGCGATGGGAGCACAAGCAGGTAACGCAATTGGTGGAATTGCTGAAGGAATACTTAATAAAATAGGGGTAAATAGTGGAAAAATAAATAAATATTATTTTTATCTTAGTATGGTTGTAGTCTTTGATAAACTTTTTCTCCTTTATTTAATATTTCTCTTATTGGGGCAGCTTTTGGTGTTATTGATTCAGCAACGTCACTAATTGCTTCTTTATTCTTAAATATCCAATTTGCTCCTTTCTTCATTGTTTCCCAAACTTTATGCGCTCCTCTTTTTACTTTATCCCACAGTTTCTTAAAGAATCCTGCAGCCATAGTTGATTATTTCATTAAAATTAAAAATTCATTTTCATCTTTTAATTTTGATTTTTTATTTAATAATAAATGACGACTAACTATTTGGTGCCAAACACTAAACCAATTAATGGAAATGTGTTTCATTCATTCGAAAAGATAAATGAAATATTCGCAAAGAATGACGGAAGAAGATATTATAGAGAACTTGAAAGTTCATGCTATGACTCTGATGCTCCATATTTTGATGATAAACAAACTCATTTAAGAATTACAAATCCGGCTCATGATGTGAACCAATTAGGTGACACATATATTAAACGCAAAGTTAAAGCAACTCTAGTTTCAAATAAAGCTTTCACATGTGATGCCGCTTTTAAATGCATGCGTTTATTCGTTGGTTACAAATCATCAAATCAAAGCTTTAAACAATTAGAAGTAGAAACCGAAAGAGGTGATGCCGGTTATCTTCAGATGGATTGCGCCCGTGAATCTTTCGCATTTGCAACATATAAACCAAAATCAGAAAGGAAAGTTAAAAAGTTTGTTCATTCGTTATATAATAATGTTCAAAAATATGATAACTCAGTATGTGGTAAATATATTGACCCTTCAGAAGTTTTCAAGAAAGCAAATGAAGAAGTTGATATCACTTTTGATATGATTATTCCGGTAAATGATTTGTTAGCATTTCAGGCGTTCGATGATTATCCTAAATCATTTGGTGAAATCATTCTTAAATATTATGTTTTCAGGGATACTTTAGTATTTTGTCAGGTTGACCCGTTAAGAGTTGCTGATTTACAAAATTACGTTTATGAAAAGATAACTGATGAAAATTATGAAAAGATTATGAATCATGTTTATAAATATGATCGCAAATTCCAACAAATCGGACTTCCTGCCAAATTAATTACAAGCTTAGCCGCTACATCTGCTGACGCAACAGTTGATGACGTTATTATTTCATGCACAAAGATGGAAGTTTTAGAGGATAAATGCATTACACCAGGATACGGTTTAATTGAAGAATCAGTTAAAGCAATACCACGTTTATTCAGTAAGGAAGATCCATTCATGATTCCAGCTCAACATATTGACGTTCGTTCACTAAATGGAGGTTGCATCACTCCTGAAGGTATAGCTCAGATTTCTCATACGCTCTTCATAATGTTACAGATGTTGTGTTAGCATTTCCGAAGAATGCAATGCAAAGAACAGTTTTAGAAAATCCAATGCTTCGAGGTCTTCAGGTCACTATAGATTCCAGAAACTTCCCCGATCAAGCGATGACCACAGTGGGTGACATATTCTTTACACGTATGCTTCAAGCTTCTGATTTAGATGGAGTGAATGAATGCACGGAAGAATACGAGGACTCATTAACTAGACCACTGAATGATGATAATGGCACGCCATTAGCTAGAACATGGAAAGACCAAACTTCATTCTTATGCACTATTCCAGTTCAACGTGATGGAGCGGGTATATTCTTTGATGGATTAGAAACTTTCAACTCACAAGTTACAGTACAAGTGAAAGCTTATCCAATCATTCAGGGTGTAAATGACACTTACTGTTCAAAGGTGACAAATCCTCCTCAGGTTTGGTTTACTAGGACTACGTATTGGACATGGACACCGGATGAAGGTTTGAAATATCATCCAACAGGTACACCACCACAGTATAGAAGTTCATATGATGAAATATTGATGAATAGAAATGTTTAAAATTATAAATTTATTTTTGATTAAATGGATTTAAATTCTGAAGAATTAGCGGGAGTATATAATACATACGTAGATGATATGATTAATGAAGCATTGAGTGATAATAGAAATGCTCTATCTAAGGAAAAATTAATGAAAATTCCATATTCTGAATGTTACTTAAATTCAATCACTGCAGCAATTGGTAAACAAAATAAAGGTAAAACATTAACGATATTAAAACAAATTATCATTATTGCTAACACTTCCCCCATTCACATGTGTTAATTTATATCAACCGTTCAGGTTCACCTTCAGATGATACATTTGAATCTTTAAAGCATTTAATCAAAATTCCAATTATTTATTTATCACAAGAAGAAGCAGAAGATTATTTAAAAAACTTTTTAATGTATAAAGAATTATATAATACAATCAAGAAGCAAGGATTAGAGGATAAAATTATTGATAAACAACGGGATGAATTATTTGAAACACTTTCTATTTCAAATTTTGATAGAGAATTTTTGCATTCACTCATTTTTCTAGATGATGCGGTGAAATCAAAACTAATAACAAATGAGAAATCATATTTTAATCAGTTATTAACTCAATGTCGACACATTCAGTGTTCATTCTTCATGGCTGTTCAATACTTCAAAGCATTAAGCACAAACATTAAATCAAATCTATCAACACTTTTCATTTTCAGTGGTTTTAGTCGTCAACAGTTGAACGTTATGCTTTATCAAGTGAATTTACCAATGAGCATTAATGAACTTTACACACAATATCAGCAATTAGGTGAACATGGAAAAATAATAGTTGATTTAAATAAAGGATGTGTTAAATTTGATTAACTTTTTATAATTAATTTTTTTTTTTATTTATAATTAAACATGACAGAAATAGCAAATCTTTACAGGTTCCATTAAAACAAGGGACAAACAAAAAGGGTGTGTATAATAGAACTATGAAAGTTCCAGACGGAATGAAAGAATTAGTTCATATTGTTGCTGGTCTTCAAAAAGATGTTAAACAAATGAGAAACGTTTTAACATTACCAGAAGCTCAAGCATATGCCAAACGTCATGGTCCAAATTGGGAAGCACATGAAGCAGACATTACAGGTCCAAATGGAAAACCTGATGGTATAAATGAAGTTTTCGTTACTGATGGTCATGGTAATATTAAAGTCATAAATGGTTACAAATTAACTGTATCTGATTATCCTAAACGTAAAGCATATAATGAATGTTATCCTATGCAATTTGATGAAAATGGAAAAGCTGTTAAACAATACATTGGAGAAGGTGAACATGGTCCAATTAATTCATACCGTCATAATCCATATTCTTATTTCAATGAAGAATTAAACGCTATTGAAGAAGGACCGGATGGATTACCACGATATGTTAATCAGTTTGATGGTCAATATGCAAATTTGAGACCTGAAATTCCAGCTAAGAAATTCTTTAAAGTTGCTTTATTCGATCCAGTGTTCAATGAACAGAAAGAAGCAATGAAAGCAGAATTTAAACCAATTCAAGTGGCAAGAATTTCTTCATCTTCACTTGCAGAAGCGTTCAAGGAATTGATAAAGAAACCACTTTATTCTCAACAAGGTTATAACTTTGATTTAATTAAAGAAAGTGATAGACGTAAATTAGAAAAATCAGATGGTTTTAAGAATGCATGTAATGAAATGATTAAAGATATTGTAAATGATAAAATAAGACTGGAAGAAACTCAAAGCAATATCAATAACATAATTGGTGCAGTTACAAAGAAAGTATAAGCAAACAATGATGAACCTTGGGATATTACCGTAACAACTAAATAAAACTTTAAATATATTTTTCTTTTTTTATTCAATTATAAATGAGAAGACGTTTCACAAGTCAAAAGAACACTAACGCAAAAGCAGAGATTACGGTTGGTTATAACGTAAATGATGATAAATCACGAATTATTCAAAATGTTAAAGTTAATGTTAGCCCTGAATTAACAAGGTCAGCAACTCAACCAAATTTATTAACTCGTGACTTACCGAAGAATGAGGAGAATGAAGAAAACCATGAGAATGGAGACCCAATCATTTTATCTGAACCCGGTAAAGAACCTGTTGAAATCCCCACATATCCAACATACCCCCCACCTCTTTCATCAAACATCGAGAACCCAGGAATATACGATTCCAGTCGCAATGCGCCATATAAAATAGACATTAATTCTGAATTAATGAAAATTTACCGTGATATAATAACTGATAATTATGATTCAATAATAAATTTAATTGATCAATCCGGTTTAATTATTTTACCTTATGAATCATTAATTCACATTATCGCCATTCTTTGTGATGTTCAAGATTCAGACGTTAAGATTCAATTTTTCATAGATGATGAGGTTTCATGCTGCGGAACAGTTGCAAAAATAAATCCTATAAAGGATATTAGCACAATTAAGATATCAAAGAACGGAACAACAACTGAACTTCATTTAACATATAATGATATTTATAATAAAATAGTTGATGAATATAAAATATCACTTGAAAAATTCTTTGTTAAGGCATTTAATATTCAAGCATTAACATTATTGAATAATAATCCTTTGAATCATAATCAATAATAATTGACCTTTCACCAGTTTCTATCGTTTGTTTTATTTCTTTTTGTTCCCCACTATCTGGATCGGTCATTGTAATTGTTTTTGTTATAGTATCAGCTTTATCTTTAACTTCAATCTTTTTTCCATCAGGATATTTAAACCAAAATTCCAAAAATTCGATATTGTCAATCTGTTCATATTTTAATCTATCAATTACATTTTTAATACCATCTGAAAATCTTATGAAATGGTCATTATATGGGTTTGATTGAACTAAATTTGAATGAAGTGAAATATAACCCGATGATGAATATGACATTGACTCATATTTTCTGAAAACACTAAAATTTATAACATGAATGAATTTCTTATTCGTTGAATTTATGAATTCTTGAGGTAATCTTATTCTAGTTTTATTTATCACTGGAAAATAACGCTTTACCATATTTTTAATCGTAATAAAAATGTCAATTATCAATATTATTTCGAATAATAGTTGTGAATTAAATTTAACAGTTAGTGGAATTTATAATGTTACTCTCGTTTCTGTGAGTGGTAAATTTAATCCCATTCTTTTAGACCCTTCAGATTATATATCATTTATTAAAGATGACCTTGAAAAAACGTATGATATGTATATAAATAATGTGATAACGAAATGGGATATTAACACAATTTTAAGTTATTTAAATGAATCATTTATCGTTTGGTATGAAGAAAATTTTAAATCAAAACCTGATAAACTTTTTGAACTTGATGAAATAAATAACCTTATTAAATTCCCGCTGAAAATTAAATTTTGTACTCCTCATCTTCGTTCATTGTTGGGGATATTAAATTTTGAAAAAGATGTTGGGGATGTTTTGTATTCTGACACTGGTTCCAATTTCATTTTAATCAAATGTGATAAAGTTAATACCCCAATGAGATTTTCACATCAAACATTAGACCCTAACTCTTACCCATCAATACAAAACATTTTATCCATCAACTTAAACATATTTTCTTTATCATATCCGTTTCAATTATCCGGGAATTCATTTATTCTTCATTCAAAAGATTTATCAAATATTAAATTTAGAATAACTGACCTATTTGATTGTGATTTAGAATTTATGAATGAAATATTATGGCAATTTCAAATAGAAAAAATAGCTGATGAGATAACAGATTAAATATTTATTTTTAAATCATAATAAATGATTAAACAACAGCAACCACAGCAACTTAAGGCACAGACCATTACTTACGCCACATATGCATATAATTCAAAGACGGCAGAACAAACACAAAGGTTGAAATATGGAGATTTGGAGATAGTATTGAAAAATGACCATTTTGAATTCGTTTGCAAGGGTGGTGCAGTGATATCAAATATAAAAGAAATTTTATTTATGAATTCAAAAATTAAAGGAATAACGGATGATATAACATCAATTCCACCAGAAGAACAAAGATATTACGCATTAAATGCATTTCCTAAAGTTTTGAAGATTGGAAGATTTAATTTAAATGAGGAATTCATAGAAGGTTTCCTAAATGACATAATGAAGAAAGCGGATAAGGAATACGTGGATAGTGAGTTAGAGGAGAAGGCAGATAAGGGACTTGTGGCTAGTGCATTAATGAAGAAAGCAGATAAGGAATATGTTAATGAAAAAGATAATGAAATTATAGAAAGGGTTGAATGGTACCATGAATGGACATCAAAGATTTTAAAAACTAAAGCTGATACAGGATGGGTTTCAGAATGTTTAGACCTTAAAGCAGATAAGGAATATGTGACTAGTGAGTTAGGGAAGAAGGCAGATAAGGAATATGTGACTAGTGAGTTAGGGAAGAAGGCAGATAAGGAATATGTGGATAGTGAGTTAGGGAAGAAGGCAGATAAAACTTATGTTAATGAAGAAATAAAACAATCAGAGGTCTATTTTACTCCACCATTTTTAAATTTTATGAAATCATCAGATAAAACCTTTGATATAGATTCTTTTGAATGGATATGTTTCGATGGAGTGACCATGTATTTATTTTATACAGCTGGGGTGCTTTATTATTTTAAAACAAATGATTTTAAAACTATGAATCATTTACTCCATCTGTTTTGAATCATGATACACGAAAGCCAATCATTAATCCAATAATTTTATATGTTGAATATAATAACGGTAAATTTATGGGAATGATAACGGTTGAAGATGATTTTTTGCCCTTGTTATTCATTCGATTGTATCCAATGGTTCAAATGTAATTTAAATCAAGATGCTAAATTTAAATATCCAAATAATCCTATTAGATGTGTTAATAATAAATGGGTACTAATTTATGAAGTCAATCAAATTTTCATTAGTGAGGATGGGATAAATTATTATATGTTTAGTATGATGTCATCAGATTTGAAAATTGATTATACAAGTAAGTGGTATTACATTAACAACATGTATTTTATCCTACAAAATGATAAAATTTATAGATCATCTTCAATATCACAAGGTCAATTTGAACAAATTTTCAAGCTGATGGAGACATTGAAGCTTTATGTTATGGATCAAATGTTTATGTTCTCGTTTCAGGTGAAATGGTCTATTCATATCCTGTAAGTTATAACAGACATATTTATTTATCACAGGATTTATCAAATTGGGAATTGGTTTATTCATTCACTCCAAAACTTACTCGAAATTATAGATTTACAAATTTATTTTATATTGATGGGTATTTCATTGCTTTAAGATGTGGTGATTTAGTAAATACCAGTAGTGATGGAAGAAACTGGTCTGAAATCACAAAATTTCAAGATGTTAGAAAAGCAATTTTCAAAAATAATACGTTAATATTGATAACAAGACCAGTTTTAAATACTCACCCAAATTCAATATTATATAATAAATTCAATATTCATAATGGATTAAATACAATTCTTGAGATGATTTACCCCATTGGTTCTATTTATACGTCAATGAACTCAACAAATCCAGCAAGTGTTTTAGGTTTTGGTGCGTGGGAACAGATTGTAGACAAATTCCTCTATTGTGCAAACTCTTCAAAGCAAACGGGAGGTTCGAAGAAAATTAAAGAAGCAAACTTACCCCCGCACACTCATACAGGAACTACAAACTTTTCTGGCGACCATAGTCACTCATTAAGAGACCATCCATTATACAACTCAGAATATTATGCTGGCAATGACGTTTTATCTCCAGATTATAACCATTCGGCAAAAAAGACTTTTCGACCAACTGAACCAGGAGGAAATCATGTCCATACTTTCACAACAAATCCAACAGGCTTGGGTAAAGATTATATGCCTCCATTTATGACTGTATTCGCATGGTACCGCATTTATTGAATGTGCTTGAGCCTACTTTGCAGGCTTACCACGTTCATTGAATGAACTAAATATATTTTATGTTTGTAATTAATTAGGTAATGGTTTTGGGTTATTCAATAATTGTTTATTGAGTTTTGGATGAAAGAATACGGTCGAGCCAAAAGTGGCTCAACCTCAAAACGAGCATTTTATGAGCTTATTAATGGTGTTATGAATGAATTCAGTCCAAAAATAATTAATTTCATTAGTTTTAAAATTATTTTTATTTTTTATTTTGTATGTAAGAACAGAAATGTCAGTCGAAGCAAAAACATTCACGAACAAATCTAATGGCGAAACATTCACAAAAGGCACTTATAATGGTATTGAAGTCTTACGTAAGACAAGGATGGTTACATTAATGCAACAAAGATGTGTCAGCAGTTTAGGAAAGACTTTAAAAGTTGTTGGAAAATAAGTCCTGGGAAGAGTATTATAAGGCATTTTGTGAAGAATATAGCAACCGCCGGAATTCCGACGGTTGGTTTTTATACAAATTCATGCGGAATTCCTGATGAAATCAAACAGGTTAGAGGAACGTATGTAGACCCAAACTTATAAACTATATAGCAATGTGGCTTCTCCAAAATATTGCATAGCAGTTGGAAAAATTATGGACTCCATAGACAAGAAAGTTCATGAGAAATTAGATGAAGAAGAACTCGAAGATACAGTAGAGAATGCTAAACATTTGTTTGAAGAAGAAGTTGGAAAAATGTGTGAAAAACAATTAGAACATGAACGCGAGATATGTTATGGTTATAGAGATTCTTCATACGAACTAGACCAATGGGAACAAGAAGATTTAAAGAGAGAATTTAGAGAATATGAACTCGCTAAGATAGCATTTGAAGCTGCAGAAAAGAAGTTAAAAGTTTGGGGTCGTTTTGTACAAAAATATTGTGAGTAAATGAACCATTTATTTTTGTCATTAACGACCAGAAATATGTGTTTACGTTAATGCTTCGGGTTATTCAATAATTATTTATTTTTGAATAACTGAAGGGGTCACCGGGTCACCAGGTGGTCACCAGGTAATTTAACTTCTATGAAAAAATGAGACAACATGACATTTTGACAACATCACAGGGGGAAAGCAGTTATGACTTATTTTTGAATAACTGAAGGGGTCACTGGTCACCAGGTGGTCACCAGGTAATTTAACTTCTATGAAAAAATGAGACAACATGACATTTTGACAACATCACAGGGGGAAAGCAGTTATGACTTATTTTTGAATAACTGAAGGGGTCACCGGGTCACCAGGTGGTCACCAGGTAATTTAACTTCTATGAAAAAATGAGACAACATGACATTTTGACAACATCACAGGGGGAAAGCAGTTATGACTTATTTTTGAATAACTGAAGGGGTCACCGGGTCACCAGGTGGTCACCAGGTAATTTAACTTCTATGAAAAAATGAGACAACATGACATTTTGACAACATTTACGAAAATTTGATGCAGTCCAAAAATAAAGTTAGTTTTAAAATTATTTTTTATTTTTTATTCCTATATAAATGACAGCAACAAACAACAGCAACAGCAACTATATTGTTTCTGATGAACAAGTTATTGATTCATTAGCTGAGGAATTAGTTGTGGCAGAAACTAAAGTCCTCAACGAAAGAATTGGTGAAAACAAGATTGATTTACATAACTACCTCAAACATGATGGAGGAAGAGGAAGGAAAACTGGTATGGCTTTATTAGTAAATAAAATTTCAAATTTAACGATTATAGATGTTGATATCAATAAATCATACAATGATGAACTTAAAGAAACAGTTAGAAAAGACATTTTATCAAAACTTTCGGATAAAGATGTTATCGTTAAAACTGCATCAGGAGGTCTTCACATTTATTGCAACACTAATTTCTTCTATTCAACCTCGAACAGAATGATTAAATGTATTCCTGCAATGATTATGATATTGACATAATGACTTCTATTGATGATTCAAAGCGTTCATTAGTGGTTATGGCTGATTCAAGAGTTCGAAAGAATGCAACAGAACCAATCAATACATACTCATTCATTCGTGGAAGTTATGATTCAACATTAACCAGAACAGTGAATGATATATTAAATGATTTGAATATTAAGGTAAGAGTTGAACAGAAGAATGAAGAAATAAAGAGTATAATGAATGAAAACAAAGATGTAAACATTGACGATAAACTTGCCCAGAGCATAGTTGATGGCATCTGTGATTTTGAAGTACATAATGATGGTGGAAACATGAATTTAGAAAAAGAAGTTACATTATTCACACTGTTTCAAGCTATTAATTCGTTACCTAATCATTTAATTAATGAAGCGTACGATAACGTTTATAATTTCTGCAATTTAACTGAAAATGCAAAAAGTAATTTTGAAAAAGCACGTAGTAGATATGCACATTTAATGACTTCTCCATTTGTTTTGGTGAAGATTCTAAAACTTTATCAAAAGGAATATTATGATGAATACGTTTTGCCTTTATTACGTAAGCCAAAAATAACATTTGATATCAAACTTGATGACTCGTTTTTGATAACAGATATTAGACGCAAGGCTGAAAATCATCAGTATAAAAACAGTTCTGAAGTAATTGAGGATTTATCACGTGTAATTCGTTTTGTAGATTGTGGAAACAAATATTTCATTCAGAAAGATTACAACATACACGACAAAATGAATCAAATATCATTTGTTCTTCAGTCAAACATGAAAGAGTCACTCAAAATGATTAAATTATTTAAAGAAGAAGGTAAAACAATAACAGCATGGGATGTACTACTAAATCAATTATCCTCATTAACCGTTAAGGGTGTTTGCTTTAAATCTGATTCCCCAGATGTTTTCTCAACGTTTCAGGGTTATAAATACAACATTCTTGAAAAGCCTGATTACTCAAAAATTGAGATGTTTATGGATTTCATTAAAGAAGCCATTGTGATAATAACGATGAAGTGTATAAATACCTTCTCGGCTGGATTGCATCAATGATTCAACATCCTGGAATCAAGAATGAAACAGCAATTATTTTGAAAGGACTTCAGGGAACAGGTAAAACAGATTCACAGACATTATTTCTGAACTTCTCGCTGGTTATTCATGTAAAAACATTACTGAAATAAGTGAGCTAACGGGTAATTTCAACTCAGTAGTTGAGAATAAAATGTTTCTTGTACTTAATGAACTCAAGAATGTAGGTGAAGACAGACTCGCAAACTTCAACGCTTTGAAATCAATTATTACGGATAATGAGATTAGAATTAACGAAAAGAATCAACCCAGAAGAACAGCACAGAATGTTGCCAATTTCATTTTCGTAACTAACAACGTCTACCCTGTCAAAATTGAAGTTGGAGACAGAAGATACGTAGTTTTAAGGGTTAATGGTAAATTCAAGGGTCAATTTGATTACTTCAAGAATTTAATGGATTCATGCACAAAGGAATTTTATGATAACCTTTTAACATATTTTATGCAATATGACCTTTCATCATTTAATGTACGAATCATACCGATGACTGAAGCCAAACAAGATTTAATAGAATTATCAACAAATCCTTTAGATGAATGGATAAATACACATTATGATGAATTGTGTGCAGGTATGACGTGTAAAAATGCTCTATTCTGCAAACCATCAGACATGAAAGACAAAAACTTTCAAATGAGCATTAAGGATAAATGTGAAAGGAAACAAAGAAAAATAGATGGTAAACAAACATGGTATTATGTTTTGAAAGAAGAAATGAAAGGATTATATAAACAAATTGAACCAAACGATAATGAGGAATCGTTTACTGACGATGAAATACCTGTGAATGCAGCTTTATAAAGTATGACTGGAATTTATTTTTGCCTTCCTCCTGTGATGTTGTCAAAATGTCATGTTGTCACATTTTTTCAGAAAAGTTAAATTACCTGGTGACCACCTGGTGACCCGGTGACCCTTCAGTTCTTCAAAAATAATTAATTATTGAATAACCCATGATGTTGTCAAAATGTCATGTTGTCACATTTTTTCAGAAAAGTTAAATTACCTGGTGACCACCTGGTGACCCGGTGACCCCTTCAGTTCTTCAAAAATAATTAATTATTGAATAACCCATGATGTTGTCAAAATGTCATGTTGTCACATTTTTTCAGAAAAAGTTAAATTACCTGGTGACCACCTGGTGACCCGGTGACCCCTTCAGTTCTTCAAAAATAATTAATTATTGAATAACCCATGATGTTGTCAAAATGTCATGTTGTCACAAACTTTAGAACGGCATAATTTAAATTTTTATTTTTATCATAAATGAATACCCCACAAGCTCAAAATTTACCACGAATCATAACAAGGGAGGAAATGATAAAAATGATGCAAGAACATGTTAAAAATAACAAACCACTAAAATTGAGAAAATGCGGTTATGCAGTAATGATGGAAAGAGAGATGTTGTCGAAGAGGAATAAAAATTAAATTTGGATTGAGTTTAAAAATTCATCTTTATTAAATTCATCTCTTCCAATCAATTTATTTATTCTATTAAATTCTTTTATTTTGCTTCACTCAGTTTAAGGATTGAACGGTAAGTTTCTAATTTTTCGATTATTTCTTTCCTCTCTTTATCGTTTTCAACCCCACCGCATTGTGGCTTCTTTTTGTAATAGCATATTTTTGATTTAATTTTGTTTAGTTTCTTTTTATATTCATTGTCTGGACTCTTGACTGCTTCGTTGTCACTCATTTCTTACGAAATAAAAAAATTAAATATTATTTAAAATATAATGAGTAATAAAATAAATCGAATTTCTATTAATTTATTGTTAACCTCAACTAATGTATTGCCGTTAATATATCTAACAAATTCAGCTATTGTGTCAAATCTTCGTCTTCTTTTTGTCATTGATTTATCAGTTTTTCCATAATCGAGATGAATCAAAACTTTATCCCCTTGTTTAAATTCATGAGCCCCGAATTAATTTGTTCACGTT